GGGGGGGGAAATCACATGGAAAATCAAATAACATTTAAGAAATATACAGACTAGACATAGTGAACATTTTTTGCGTTCACTTCTAGTCTCTAGAAACACCTCTGCGTTCCTGCCGCTTGTTTGCCTCTTTTCTTATATAAAAATATACAATTAATCTTATGATGTTCAACTCATTAGGTTATATTTTGTGTTTGAACATAGATATTTACAATACAATTTATTAATTAAAAAATCTGTTATATAACAAAATCAACAAATATCAAGTTGCTATTTTGTTACCAAACGAAACCATAAATAATCATTCACCTTTGTTCTTATAAATGCTTTATTGCCTCTTTCGTATACATTTACTGTTCCCTCTCTTGTATATGGTATCTTGTATATGTATCTCTTGTATGGCTTGGTTGTTTTATCACCTGTATTTGATTTTTTTTTCTAGTTGGTTCGACGTAGAGGGTACTCCACACCGCGCAGCTATCGCCTTAGAGATAGATGTTGAGTAAGTTATTTTAACACTCATTAGTAAACTTGTTATTTTTCCCTCCAACTTAAATTAAGTAACATATAAAACGCAAATTCCATTAATCTAATAATTTTCTAACCTTTTTTATACCTCAACTAGCTGTTGTTCGCGACTTCGTCCGCGTGAAATTAAAAATAATAAAAAACATAGCATATGTTACTCACTAATAACGTAGCTTTTAAACGGTGTAAGAATTTTTAAATCGGCCCAGTAGTTTTTGAGTTATTTTACATACAAATCTTTCCTCTTTATAATATTAGTATAGATGTAGTGCCATTTACTTATTCAATTCTCTTGTTTCTACTCTAATTTCTTACCATTTTTACACCTTTCTCTTGTTACTTACAGGGGAAAGACACCAGAAAATGATTGTATGTTAGCGGTTCTACTCTACCTGAAGCCACACTCGACCCTGGCTGAGAGTACTTCTGGACTTGAAGAGTAAGGGATCTGAGAAGACCAGGTCAGGGTCCTGGATCTCTGCTTGTCAGCAACGTTACCATAATTGTCACTTATAGTCCAATAAATCTGGTCTTCTAGATAATATTGTTACTAATATAAAAGCGATAATCAAAGACATTTAAAAAAATATAGACGAGGCACTGAACAAATTTTTTTCACCGGTACTTTCTCTAAAAGTGTCTAGTTTAGTATCACCTTATGTTCATCCATCTTTTGTTATCGGAATTTAATTATATTGACATACGGTTTTGAGATTTATTATTACATAGCGTTAGTAAGAATATGTGAAAAATGTTTCAGCAGAATTGTGTTTAATGCCTCCTCTATGTATTTAAATCTCTTTGAATCCAGCGAATCTGGCTTGATAGGTAAAAGTGTGATTTTGTGTTTAAATCCCTTCTCTAACGGTATTTAAAAGTCTTAACAGATAAATGTAACGCCCACTTTAAAAATCAGATATTTTCTAGCCCCGTTGACATTTTTACCTAAAAACCCTATATAGTCTCGCCTGGAGTTTAATTTTGAATTTCTTACTAAACTAAAAGAGTGATAATGCAATTTTATAATATCAACCCTTAAATACCTAAAGTTTCAAGTTTAATTCAAGGGTTATAAATCGCACTGGACACCTATAATCGATTTTATTCTAATATTAGACTGTTTTATTACCTTTGAATGACAATCTTCAAGTTTAACAAAAAGGATATCACGAAAGTATATAAAAACATCGTTTTTTACTATATTTCCCCTTTTAAAAAACACTCTCTCTCTTTAAGTGCCTCTCCGTTAATGGAGGTTGGCCGTCAACTCAGCGAACTTTTTCCGGTCGTTCCGCTGGCAATATTCGTCCACTCCCTAATATTAATATGATATTAAAAAACACATTAAAAGATAATTATGAATTTTAGTAAATTGATTTAATCAGACTTTAAGGGTTTTTATAATTATGAAAATATCAACTAATCCCGCTCTTCCATTTTCTTTACCTAAGACTCCAGTGCCCACAAGAGGGTGTCTTCTTCAGGGAAGACTTTAATGTGACGTCACTTCAAAATGGCGGTATGTCAGGCGGCCATTTTGTTTTTAATTTAGAAGAGAGATTAAAAAATTTGTCATTTATGATATTGTCACATTGGTTGTGCAAAATGTCATTAAACAACGAGGCTGTATTATCTTAAGTATAAGTATTTATTTTAAATTATATAATTTGCTTTATTTAAATGTAATTTAAGTTTTAAAATATATTTTAACAATTTAAAATTAAATTTGGATGGAATTTAGGAATTTCATTTGCTGTAATCGGATTTATTCATTTTATTTTTATCGTTTATGGATATTTATAATATATAGAATTAAAAATATAAAAATATATAATATATACTATTTGAATTGTTGATTTTAAATAACTAGTCCTGTTAGACCCTGAGCCAAAGTAAATTAGAATTTGCACCATTAATAAATAAAGTACACTGAATTGTAATTTAATATATTTTTCTTGAATTTACATTCCATATAGAATCAACGTAGTTCATTAAATATTTGAAATTTGACTTACATATCCGTTTTAAATATTATTATATTAATCGAATATTATGAATACGTATTTAGAAGTAGTTTTGTTGAAATATTTAGTGGTTGCTATTAATCAAATTGAACCTCATTTTCGATGTAAATGTACGAGATATCGAAATAGATTTCAGCTATGCATTTAAACCCTACTTCCACAAATCGAATAACAATTATAATTTTCCTATTATATCCACTATGTAGTTATTTTGTCAATTTTTATAACCACCCTCTGGTAATATGTCATAAGTATTACACCCCCACCCTCCAATAATAGCAATTTGTGTATTTTTTAGTCAAAAGTTTTTTTTTTTAATAATAAAAATCGAAATATCCTCAGTCAAAAATACACGTGTTATCTTGTTTTAGGCCCCCTTTTTGTGATGTTTAGTGACTTTCGACTTTGTCTCACATGATTACTGCAAGAACCGTAGCATAAAACTTGTATAGCCGTTTTACTTCGAATACGTTTTAACGTAGATTTCCACTGAAACTTGTATATTGCTATATATTGCTATCTCATAAAATCTCTTTGAGTAGATAGGGACAGATAGTCGTTATAATTATGTTATAAACCGAATACAGCGTTTATCGCTTCGTAGATAATTTGTAAAAAATTGCCTATTTTCCTGTCTTGTAGACGTTTTATTTTAATTTGCATATTGTTGATAAACCTAAATAATTTATTTGAAGATTATAGTGCTAGGTATGTTTGCGATTTAGGCATGTTTTGAATATTTCGAGGCCAAGTCGTAAATGTCCAAACCTAATTGTTTCATTATTTATTCGTTTTAATAATAAATTTAAGTGTATTTTGTGTGCTTTTCTTAACTATGGGAATAGTCTGTGATTTTTGGCAGCGATTTTATTAGTACTTTGAAAATTTGTGTTCATTTGCTTTAATTTATTCCATTTATAATTCTGATGTTTTTTTAATACTCTGTTCGAATGTATTTTTTTTGCATATAATTTGTAACTAAATAGAACATCGAGATTAAATAGATCTTAGTTATTGTATATTTTATTTTTTATTAATAATGTTTATTGAAAGGTTGTGTACGAGATTCGATATTTTGTTTTAATTATGTACCACTGCCTCAGTAACTTCCTTATGCTCATGTTAACAATATTGAGAATAAATAAAATAGATTCATGAATTCAAAATGTATTTTACTTCAGTATCCTTTTCCATACAGATGTTACAATGACATTTCCAGACAAACTTATTGTAAACAATGAGTTTTGGTTACTTAAAGTATGACTTTAGAGGGCTTATCTCGTTTTCGTAATGTTATCGACATGGATTTGGACATATAAGCTTTGCCAACAAAGATGTAGGCAGCTAGGTAGAGTTTAAGCAGGGTCGGGGGCCTCAAGAAGCTTATAAAAAATGCTTCTCAATAAGTTCAAGTTATTTATGTGACTCTAGGCATAAGACTAGTATTTTGTTTAACAATTCTCGACCTACGGCACCCCCTACCAGTCGTAAAGTACACCAAATCTCGTAGAATTTTTGTCGATTACGTTACGAATATGTTCTCACTTTTTTTAACTATCGCGAAACTTGATAAACCAAAGACATTAAGAAATATATAGAATAGACATAGTAAAGTTTTTCACCGGTACTTTGTATGATATAATGTCCATATGTCCAATTTGACACGTCAAGAACATTAGTTTGAATTATCGGACACCAGGTAGCGCTAGTGAGATTGTGTATAATTCAAGAGAAATCTAAACTATGTTTCTTCTGTATATTATTTTAATCTCTTCGATAGACCCTCTGAATTCTACTGCACTGACACTCGTAGTAATATTGCCATCCTTTACATTCTCTTAGAACAAAACAGCGTCAACTATATGTTGTGATACATTATATTGCAGTCGAAACTCATAATAATAAAAATAAATTAAATGCAAATAAAGTAAAGAATAAAACAAAGAATAAATAAAAAAAAATTTAATGTCGGTGTTCGAAAAAAAAGTACAAATTTACAATCAGTTCACCTTATGATCTACTTATTAAAAAATCAAAAATGTGTTTCCGATTTTGATATAACAGTAGTTCGTAGGTAGGTAACACTGACCTCTATAAATGGACAGGCGATAAACAGCGGTGTTTTATGTCTAGTTGCCGCTGATGGTATTTATGTATGCCGCGTTGTCGCTGATGGTTGCGGTAGGTCGCGGTGAAACACTTTCGAACCAATATTGATAGACTTTACTGTCATCAAAAGGAGAATCAAAGTCGGAAGCAAAAGTTGTAATTTCTAAACAATCTATCCATTTATACAGATCAGTGTTAGAGATGAAATAAATGATTACTCTTGCGGAGAAGCTTTGCCGATGGCGGTATTACGTCACGCATTAACTGACGGTTTAGTTCCCCCTAGACAAAGTGACTTTCGATTACCGATATCTGAAGTAGAATCGACAATCATACCAATATTATAAATGCGAAAGTTTAGATGGATGGATGTTTGTTAGCGTTTGTAGCCTTAACGGCTGAACAGATTTCGATGCAATTTGGTATTTATGTAGATGATAGCCTGGAAGAACACATTGGCTTCTCACTTTTGTTTTTTTTTTCACTTCACGCGGACAGAAGCGCGCGCAAAAGCTAGTATACAAATGAATACGAGACAAGCTCGTGACTTAATGAACATAATTGTGAGTTCCATATACTTTTGACTTTTCCATTGGCGATAATTGAATTTTACTTTGTCCAAGGGGGTTGAGAAGAGCGCGGGTCGCTGTCGGAGCTAAAGCGGGGTGGTCATCGGCAAACCTACTCACGGCTAATGTTATAGTTTGTCCGTTTCGTGATATTTAGTATGACAATTGACAGCTATGAAATATCGAATTAAAGTATGAAAATTAATGTCGTTTTTAATAGATGGGTAATTCTTAATAAAAATTATATACTCCAATCTACGAGAAGAGATTTACTATCGACCTTACTCTATCTATATTGAACTGTCAAATAAATCATTATAAAATGGACAAACTGTACTATATGCAAAAAAAATTAAAAACTCATTGTACACAACACAAAGTAAATATAAACTTTCTAACAAAATGAAATAAAGTAGCTCTTATCATCGTACTCGTAAGATACATTTTTGAACATCAAATATTTTAGGTTAGTATCTATTGACATTTATCTTTCTTAGAGCGCGTGCACACCTCTGACTAAACTATCGCATAACTGTTTAGTCGCGCTTTGATTCCTGTGAGCTTATATGGAGTTGGGGTACTCGATTTTTAGTTGAGCAACTAAACAGTTGCATTAGCTGCGAAACAATCGACAATCGCAGAACAGTTGTCCGATAGTTTACTCTAAGGTGTGCGCCCGCTCTTGCAATGAAATATATTACACATAGAACTATAGTAGGTATGTTTTGATATCTATTTACGAAGAAAACTTGAATATATTACTACACGGACCTCAGTAGGCAGTCGCCGCCAGAAAAATAGGGTCGGCTGCGCAAGCATTCTTATATGGCGATCCTTAATATCTCGGATAATCAAATTAAATTGTTTTTAAACACTAAATTTAAGTTACTAATAATTTAAAAGCAAATTAAGTTTTAAGTAAAGTAATGCCTAAGTCTGCATTGCAGGTGTAGTTTCCATTTAAAATGATTACGATGAGATAATGAAATTGGCAACAGTCTAATAAATTAACATACAAAACTAAAATTGTGTTAAAAACCTAACATCTCATCGTAATTAAAAATAATTAATCATTGGGTTTGATAAAACCATAAAATATTTAAAAAATAAAAGGAAAACAAAATCGTATTCACTTTTATTACAACTAAAAAAGGGTAGGTATATATTTCAATAAAATATTCTTGAATACAGTTGATTTGTAATAAGTAAATATTTACTACTAAAACATGCATACCTAATTAATTATTTACAAGAAAAAAAATGCACGTATGAAACATTTTAGACTCCGTATGTTATCTGTGGATATCGACTGTGGATGAACTTGAGTAAAACAGAGTCATCCCTTTTATTCTCTCATTAAAAAACAAAGACAACAATACATTTGTCACGACATCGAAATTAACGTAAAATATAAAGGTTTAAAAACCACTATCTCTATTCTAAAAGCTGACAATATGTGTATAATTTAATTGGATTTGTGTGCAATTGAATTTATTATAATATACGGCATAAATTATCCTATCCTCCTAACATGAAACTGATCTACATTCTATTGTTTTTGTGATTTTTTTTATTTTTTTTTTATATTCTTACGATATGAGTATGATATTAAACATTTATGGGGCGAAAAAACTGAACGTTCTAAGTAGGTGTCGCTAGTCGCAGGATTGACCTCTCTATCAATTTTTTTAAACGTTATATTATTTAGAATTGCATCAGTAGAGAAATATGGATTAACTTGACAACCTATTTAAATGGACAGGCTAAAAAACGTAGTGTTTTGTGCCTGTTTTACTAATTTTGGCGGTGATAGTAGAGGCAACGTCAATAGACGTGTTAACCGGAACGAAGCAAGAAATATCATTCCGGAAATTGCCTATCTATTTAATTATACCAATGTTACATACATTTCATCGTGCTGACATCTATAGTGAGCAAAAGGCAGTTTTTCTCCCCATTCTACAGTCATCAAAAAAATTACAGGAATTGTACTGACTACTGACATTGGATAATATAATTTTTATTTTAGTCTATAAAGAAAAAAGTGCTATTTTCTATGCAAAGAGAGATTGGTAGATATATACATGTACAGTCGCGGACATTCCCGGTGTTCAGAACGAAAAAAACTCCTTGTTCAACCAGACATATTCTGCCTCTTACAAATTGCTTATTAGATAGTTGTGAGTGGTGCAAACGAAGAATTTGAAACCGACGGTTTTTTGTAGATATGAGCTACGTTGTATAGATTTTTGTTACTTTCAAAATGTTCAACAGATTGTAGCGTTTGAGGTTGAACACCGCTAGTTTCCGCGATTGTACTTTATTTTATTTTTTAGTGTATGTTATTATTTAGTGTTGTTATTTCTAAAAATCATGTATTAAATCAAATATTGTAATTCAAATGTTAAACCACTATTAACATTATTGTAAAGAACATAATAAATATGTTATGTAAACATTTCGTCACGGCAAATATACCATTTACACAAAAAATATTTAAAAACAAAATAAAAAAAATATAAAAATGTTGCCAATCTTTGTAATCACAATTTAGAGCTTTACAAAAGTCACGAATTATACATAAAAGCTTACTTGTATTTCGATATGTATATGAGTGTAAGCTCGTTAATATTTTTTTTTTTAATTTCGATAATGAAACAAAACATAATCAATACATTAAGAAGTCAAGGTGATATTCTGAATAATACGTGTGCACTATCGCTTTGACGGATTATTTCGATATTATTGAGACAAAAGCACTTCGCAGAATTGATTCAGTCATCGTGTTATGGGAGGGGTTAACAATCGGGGTAGTTGCTGGGGGATTTTCGCATATTAAGAGGGGGTGGGCATTTGTTTTTCTTTGTCGTTTCCGGCGCCTGTGTTGTCTTGGATTTCTTAAGGTTTAAGTAATGGATGTTATTTTCTACTAGGTAGGATAGGATGTTGGGTACTCGCAAAGAATTTTTCATAAAGTCATTTTCCTTGGGTATTTTGCGAGATTCATTTTTCTTGCCCTCTGAGAGAGGGACGTCTGTGAACTACCAAACCTTGCACTTGTTCACGGGATTCATGGGCGAGCCGAGGGGGCAGGAGAAGTCACGGGAGAACTCCTCCATGTTGGAGAGAGGGCCGAGGACCCGGAAGCGGCCGGGCGCGTGGAAGCCGGTCGTGATGCGGAGCTTCATCGCTTCCTTGCGGTACACAGAGCACCACGTGCTGGCAGCGCTCAGCCAGAACATCTACACATACAAACACATACCATCATAACCTAAGATAGCGTAACATTATCATAAGTAATTGAAACATTCAATGTACTTTTACTATCTATGCTTACTTGTTTAAAAGTAATTTTTGACCGACTTCCCAAAAGAAGGAGGTATTCAATTCGTCGATATGTTTTTTTTTTCACAAATGTAAACATTAAAATAAAGTTTTTATAGTGTGTTGTAAAAGCCGCACGGGAACAGCTAGTTGTTCTATAAAATAGTAATAGATGACCTGTTTGGGGGAGTACTTCTCAAGTCCAGGAAGGCGCGGTTCCTCTCCGTGACGTTTGGTCCAGGCCTCGTATGCGTAGTACGCACCCTTGATACCGCCATTATCAGCTATGTTCTCACCCTGAGTGTTCACCCCGTTCAACTGCAGACAAGCATTATTCAAATAAACGTGTAACCTCAGTTTTTAAGAAAGGCTAATGCCTTTCTAAAGTTTCCACTAATTTTGTCATTACGTAACGATTTATTAGAGTTAGGTGGATGTACCAACGGAGTAATATCAAGTAACATAGAGCAGAAACGCATTACATGAATTTATCGTACCGAAAACACTAACTAATTGTTTAATTTATCTGGGAAACCTATTACAAGGTAGGCATAATAATCATACATCCATAAGAGCTCAAACAAAATTACAATAAAAGAAATTAATTTAGTTTAGTTGATATTATAGTTTGTTACTAATGTAGAAGTTTCTATATAAACCTGCCTTACTTTAGGTGTGGAATTAAAAATGTCAAAGCATGAACTTTTAGCGCGGTTGTTAACAAAGAGATTAGGTTAGAGATTCAATTAGTCTCTTAGAGTAAACATTTGAACTTTGGTTTCCTTAATTTTTGGTCGGGAATGATACTCGAAAGAGTACCATTGGAATCGATTCTTTGTCAAAAGTGAATAGTATCTGTTACTATGGTCAATGAATCGATTCCAATCGTATTTATTCGATTATCATTCCCGATATATTTTATTAGTAACAGACACGTAACAATTCATAGATTTAGTTTTATAAATGCTGTCATTATGAGAACATATGTTAAATGTCTTACTTATACTAGTTCGAAGAGGAAAACTTCGCTTTGAACTACCCTTACTTTGCTATCCCTTACCTTGAGTTTAACTTCTTCAGCAGTATAATTCGAGTACTGATCGATGATGCATTTGGCTTTTGTCAAATACTGCTCCTTCGTTTCCTCTTGCCACCAATCCACCAGATTACCATCCTTATCGAATTGACGACCCTAAGGAGAGAAATGTACGGATTTTTAGACCTTTCACATCCGACATCGACACAACATTGGTTCAAATAGAAAATTAATATCTACATCTGGAAAAATTGTATTTATTGACCGACTTCCCAAAAGAAGGTACTTAATTCGTATATGTTTTTTTAATTGATATTTTTTTACTTAATTCATATGAATGCAGAAGTAGATTATTCTCTTATCTTGTTTGTTCCACATTTACTGTAATCGAACCGAATTTTTTTTTTCAGGCACAATGCTATATACCTTTAACTGGCTTTTTTATCATTCCTGTTATAAATAAATAAAGTAATGTATCATCTATATTAATATTATAAACAGGAAAGATTTGTATTTTTGTATGCCTTTCTACTCAAAATCCCAGTAGATTAAAAAAAAAATTGAACCATTAAAAAGCTACGTTATCAATGAGTTATATAAGCAATTTCTTAATTTTACGCGGACGAAGTCGCGAGCAACAGCTATTATTCAAAAATAAAAGTGACCTGGTCGTCGAAGCCGTGAGTGATTTCGTGTCCGATGACGAAGCCGATGGCCCCGTAGTTCATGTAGGCCGGCCGCAGCGCAGAGAAGAACGCCCCTTGAAGAATACCCGCAGGGAATTCTAGAAGTATATAGCTATTAACTTAATATCCAGTAACATTTCAACACTTCTATAACATTTGATAGCTTCCTATCTCCCAATAACCGTGAATTCTTTTATCCACCCGATAAAAGCTGGTACGAATTACTTAGAATACTAACGTATACTGTTTTCTATAGAGGAATAGAATGCATTGACGATAGCGGGACGGCCGTGAGTAATCCAGTCTGTCTTGTTGACGGGCAGCCGCAGCTTCTTGAAGAGGAAGTCGGTACCGAACAGCGTGAGATTCAGCACTGACTCCATCAGCTTGTCCTCGGACATCTCCAACTATAGGAGACAAGGATATTAGACCAGGCAATATGTTAGTTATAAACTCCGTGTAGGTACAGTTCTTTCTGTAAATGTGACCACAAACAATTACGCGATCTGCTGCTCGTTTGACCCCTTCTACTAAAAAAAATTCAAACCACACTCAACGCTTACTATTCTTTTGTAGAGAATCTTCTTCTAGTGATTTAGACATAACAGGGATATAACGACACAACAGTGGTTTAGTCAGTTCACAGTGGAAACTCGATCTGTGGTAGGGCAAAGTGCAAAGGGCATCGGTTCAGTTTATACTTTAAACAAAGCCCGCGTTATATGGTCATCCAACTGATAGCACCTGTCGCCAGTCGATGATCTAGAATGTGTCTAGAAGGTGTTGAGAATCTTACTACTTACGCCATCATAGAACTCAGTTAGTTTTTCATCACTGAGCATTTCATCAGGGTAGGCGATGTGTGCAGCCATCGCGTCAGCTTTAGCCAGCGCCTGACGACGTGTCTTCTCATCCATCCATTCGACCTCCTCCAGGGTGCGGCGGAACTGCTCCCTGATGTCCTGCACCATCTCCATCGCGTCCTTCTTTGCTTCTTCGTTGAAGAATTTACGGATATACAGCGCTCCAACAGCTATCGACATGCTGTAAGCACTAACAGTATTACACAAAAAATTCAGTTATAGACTCTGGTTTGGACAACTGCATACTAATAATGATGATGACGATGATAACAAGGATTCGAGTTATATCGAATATGTTTCATTTTCATACATTACAGTATATTACAAACAGTAAGTCCAGACCATCTTTCTTCATATTGGAATTTTGAAAAAAGCTTCTAATCTTAGTACTTAGATTACATTTTACTGGGCGGTTTCCGAATTACCTTTAACCATTCAATAGTGCTTATGGTTCGATAAAAAGTTAACCTAATTAAAAAAATAATAATAAAATAAACAGAAACTTTAAAAACCCAACACTAATCTGCAGCATTGTGAATTATATACTAAGCTGCCGTTCATAAACTTGAGTTAAAATGTACAATGATAGATGAGGTTTGATGTGAGTTTACCTCATGCTGGTAGTATCAACGCACTCCTTCCAGCGACTTTCTCGCTCGGTCTTCCCGGAGAGCGCGGTGACGTAGTTCAGCTGACGACGACGAAGTTCCTCTGTCAGGTAGGAGATTGAGGCACCCGCCACGCGCCACATCACGTAGTTTGCCTGCACGCGCTTAGGCGTTGCCTCCAGGAATTTCTGCACACATAGTGTAACACATTTAAATATGAAGTATCAATAACAGCCTACTTTGAAGCGTTACTTTAACTTGGATATAGAGTAATACCTCCAGATTGGTGATATAGGAAGGCACGTTGACAATGACCACCTCGTCGATGTCAACCTCGATGTGAGGAGCAAGAAGATGATTTATGTACTTCAGCCAATCGACCCTAAGAATGTAAAATATAATTATAAAAAGAATCATTTCATATCTTACCCTTTCTGGTATATTGAATAACTTTAAGCGCATGTAAATGTCTGTTGATTTTGCATAAATAAAATAAGATAGGATTATAAGAGGTTACCTAAATGTTTTAATTTCCAAAGCACAGAGTAAAAATTGTTCACTATTTAATTGGTTTATACTTTCTTAACTAAAACTTAATAACCGCCGCTTCTAACGTCAATAAGCAATCTTCTTAACCCAATTCCCAAAACAAGGTGGTTTCGTCTGTTTTTTTTTCCCAACCAAATTATGTTCTGCACTTACTTCGGGAACTGTTTCTGCAGCTCTTTTACAGTCATTGGGTTGTAGAGTGCTGTTGCGTTGCGTCGTTTCTCCAATGGCAAGGAAAACTGTTACAGAAATGTTATATTAAGAACAATCCATTGAAATACTTTTTAGTGTATTGGACATGGAAGAGATGTATCGCATGTAACAAGGAGAACGTTAGTTATGAGAATGGTACACCGGTAGAGGTAGACATAGAAAGAGATGGATGGATTGCGTGAAAGGTGACATGATCAAGAAGGGAGTAATTGAGACGACGTATGCTAGAATTATGTGGAGGACAAAAACCAGAGCGCCGATCTTACGGGAGTACCACTAAAATATGTTATGATAAAATCCTTGCTACGTAGAATAACTTATTGGACATTTTACAGTGTAGTTCGACTTATATTTGATCCGAACAATATAAATATTTCATTATTTTCGGATCAAAGAGTTGTTCATTTATCTCAAATATTCACGTTTATTGTTGGAATAAAATCAGTTCTGTGAACAGCTTAAAGTTTATTCAACAATGAATTTCGAACAGAAATGTATTTATCAATAACAAATCTGAGTATTTTCGAATCCCTTTGTTTCTGTTGAATTTTACAAACCGACATTTTAATTGCAACTTCAATGTTTGCGATTTATTTTGTAATAATCGTCGATAATAACGAATTCACGGTACACTATTAAGTTTGGATGTTCGCCAATTAATTTAACATACAAAGGACCGTCACCGCAACAATAACGTTGCAATTTTCAGTGTAATTTCGTACGTTAAATTTCTCTTTGTTGTTTAACGGACACTTCATTTGCTTCCATGAAACGTTTTTGGTCGGCCAATGTATGAAATAAATTTTTGTCAAAGGAAAATTTTAATTATACTTTAAATAAATTAATTATTTTTAGTTAAATAGGTACTTTTTAAAGTTAGTTTTTTGTTGAGATAATAGATGGCGCTAGTAGTGTATAAATCGACATATCTTTAAAATGGTATTGCGCTAAATAAATGCTAATAAATGCTAAACATTAATAACGAATAGAACATATCGGGGAATACCGGAATGTAAATGCTGTTCATCTTCAAACCGGCATCGCGGCAACTAAAATGCACTTAACCTCTTTGGTAATTTTTTTTACAACTATAATCACAAAATCTTAATAGCACGTAATACAAATCTCTGGTAACACCAAAGAGTAAATTAATTAAAAACTAAAGTGAATGATTATTAATCATTCAGTCATTCAAAGTCGTTCAATGATATTGAATCTTATAATGAAAACTTTTACTCTCGTTTACTAAAGTTATCTTGTCGTAAAACTGCGTGAATCGTAAATTTTAATGATCGTTTTTGTCGTAAAGAATATTTAAAATGTTGCAAGCTTGTTAGGTTAGGTTATGTTATTTTATAACATGCACTTATTCATATTGAAATGAGGATCAAAGTATCAGATTGTATCGATTTCCTGTACGGGAAATATACAGAGAAATGTGATTGTTAAAAATTTTTAAAGAAGTAACAAGTTGTGTTGATATTGCAAGAAGTTTGTAAGTAAGTTTTGTTACGTATTGAAAACAAAATTTTAACAAGTCTTATTTATAACAGGATGTAACTTCATGCAACGATAAGTACTTAAGTTATTCAGAGTTGTTTTTAAGTTGCATACACCGTGGTAACAGTGTACTTGTAAGTTAAAAATGAAAATAAAAATAAGCTCAAACCGATAACTTTTCTTTGGTTCGACAAATATCGTTCGGTATACTTTGTACAGAGCGTCAGTGGCTCAGTAGTTGAAACTTGACTTGTAATAATGGTCTTGGGTTCGAATCCCGTCATGTATCAACATGGTTTTCGATTTAAGAATTTCATATGTACATAATTTACCCGACGTTCTTACGGTAAGGGAATACAACGTGATGAAACCTGCATATGTCAGCGAAGAAATTCAAATGTGTGAAGTCAACTAGCAGTGACTCAGCGTGGTTGACTATGTTCTAGTCACCCCTAACTTAGGGTATGCACCGAGCTCCTCAGTGGGGACGTATAGTGAGCTGGTGATATGATGATGTACTATATTTCCATAAATCTATCAATCTCTTATTACAATTTATTGATTGGACATATTTTTAAAAAATAACAATACTTACATTGGCGAGTGCGATTTCGAACTCCAGTGACTCCCTTAGTTCTTTCTCCGCACGTTTCTTGTTGGCTCCGAGCAGCACTGCGATGTCAACCATATACGTGTAGTAAGCCTTCACCAGCTTGTCCTCCAAACCGTGGCTCAGATACTCCCGGCTGAGTCCTAGCGATGCCTGATCCAACTGAACATACCAACATGAATTATTATATGCTCATGAGCTAACATTACATAGTACCAACACATCGCAACGAACGCTATCGTACACAGTCGCCATACAAATAATATTCAGTACACATTGCATTAAATGCTAAATGCATCTCGCTCTGCGATACCACTTCAAACAGTTTCAGAAACCAATATGTAAACATGTTAAATTATGCTCAGCAATCACATCTTATAATTCTTTACTTTAAAAAAATAAAATACCACAACAATCATCAACAAACATTTTATAACATTGCGATCTTTTGTTAGTTAAAATCTTCAACTTAAGCTGAATGTAAGCAGAACAGAATCTTACATCGATGATCCTCTTAGTGGAGTTCTTGACATCGACACTGATGGAGAAGTCAAGGAAGTAGTCGACGGAGTATCCAGATGTGCGGAAACGGAACACGGAGTCCTGCCATTCGAAGGCGCTTTCGTTCCATTTGTCGCCTTCCAGCACTGGCCAGCCGCCGAGCCCCTTCATTATGTCTAGTAGAGGCTGAATCCCGCGCGCCTCTATCGCCGCTGTAAATAATATACTTCGCTATAATTTATTATAATAATGTTGATACGCTTTAGTAAGAGATAGGGGTTACTAATAAATCGAGCGGGGTTCAAATATAGTTTACCAGCGAATTATTTGCAAACGACGAGTTTTATTGATTGACGCAGAGTGTTTTACAAAGTAATGTAGGAACTATCTTGCGCTGTGGTCGGCAAAGTGCAGCTTTAGAGCCTTTTATGGCTCTTTGTCTCTTTAAGTGTGGCTCTTTGTCAGACTATCGAAAGAGCAAGCACGTCATTCGCATTAACATGTTTAAAACGGCAGAGTTTTTTCTATTCTTTCAGTTCTTGCGATATTCGGAGTATCACACGCTGTATGTATGTGCATTTCTTATTCGCACTGGGAGATATGTACCAGGTGTTTTAGACCTGGTTTCACATACAACGTATTAGTAAACATAAACTAAGCTTTTTTAGTATTAGTTATATTTATTTAGTGTAATAAAAATTTACTAAACAAGCAGATTTAGCTCCCAATTTTTATTTAAATGTTATTTGACTCTTTGGGGATTTGTCGATCACTGATTTTTAATTTTAATTCGGTAAGTTTTAACAATTAGTTTGAACTCCTAACCTACTTGTATTTAGAATTGTTTAAATTTGTTACAATAAAATTATAATAGTTTACTGTTCAATGGATATATTTTAGATTTGGGTTCGATTCCGTGCTTTAGCAGTCGCGATGTGAGCGAATTGTTCGCGGAAGTGACGTCACCGGTTCACTTTCACCTCCGGCTAACGTAACGACCCGTGTAATTATCAAACAGCCATCATCACATACGTTATCCTAATGCGATGTTTATTACAATTTAACTTATAAAATATTGTACACGTTAACAGATGTACGGCAGGACACGGTAAAAAAAGTGTAACAAGCGTAAAATAAAATCAAAATATCATTTCTATATTAGGAGCAGAAGAAATTTGATTTATAGAACAAGAACGTCTAGTCCGGTGTTAGGCGCTGCTATCTACTTGTATTAAATATTAACTTTGTATTAAAAAATGCTGTACTTAATAGGCAGGTATTGTAGTGACGAGACAAACACGCAGCGAACAATTACGAACTATCGATATTCGGTTTAAATAAAATTTGTCGAACTTAACTACAGTTATTATTTTTTTCATAACTAATTTAGAGGACAATTCTTTAGCAATTCTTCAAAAATTTAGCGATGACAATAATAATAGCTAAATCCAATTCGATTACGTACAGCTGTAGTAGTAATAAATATTTATTTACTCTCAATATTTGTGATGGTTCTGCAGATCATTATTAATATGAGAAAAGAGTGTTTATTTTTTATTCATTAGTTATAGCTATGAATCTATTGATTCCAACTTCTATAAAAATAAAAATCGAAAAGATTCATGCCTACTTTTACATAATAATACTGCTAAATTGTCAAATGAATTGTCAAACGAATCTATCTTATTTAGACAAACTGTAATTTTCAGATGCCCATCGGGGCAGATAACGTGTCGATATATAAGCAAAGTCTTTGTTCTTTTACATCAGTCAATGAAGCTGATATCCAACGAAAGGCATGTCAAATTAGTTTGCGAGCCAGCGGTGACTAAATCTAGATTCACACGAGGATAAAACGGTGACTGATATTAGTAGATGTACTGCTTATATTTAAACCCACACTTACTGTCAACTCTGTTCAAATGGCAGTACCGCAAAGAGCCACTACACTACCTTAGTGTTTTGTCCTCGTGTGAAATAGTGTAACGTTTTATTGAATGTCGCTAATGCTAATTGGTTCGCGCGTCGCGCGTCCGAGCGACTTGCCTGATTCGATACAATTCCGAGACGAGTATGTGACCTCAATGATATTACATTGATCGTATTATAAAATCTGCTTTCAGTGGTCAGTGTTACAACATGTAGGTTTCACCTACACATGCACAAAAAAACAATGTTTATTACATCTGTTTCGAAAGTGGAATTCACGCGATACAAATCGAAGTTTATTAAGTTAACTAACATTCGCTCGCGACTCCGTACGCGCGGAGTCAAAAAAAAAAGCAAGTAGCCTATGTGTTCAACCAGGCTATCCTCTACGTGTATGCCAAATTTCATCGAGATCCGTTCAGCTGTTTAGGCTCCAAACTCTAACAAACATCCATCCATCCATCCATCTAAACTTTCACATTTATAAAATAAGATGTATAATAGAGCTCGAAATGGAAACCTTTGAGGGTTCATTATAAAACTTACACTGTTATAAGTTAGGTACACTTAATAGTGGTAGAGTCAGCTTTAACATCTGTGCTCTGTAGGGCCGGCTCGCTCACCGCAATACCACAACCACACAGAAGACAAGCATTAAGTTGAAGTAATTCTGCGTTTCGTCTGATGGGTGTGGTGCCGAAGGCCTAATTTTAGTCCGTTTCCTATCTCACCATTTTCTTATACGGATGGTAAGGGAAAGTGGAATTAAAGGTAGAGGAGACACATAAGAAGGCGATAAGAAAGGGAATCCTTTGCATGTTCGTCTCCACCGTTAATTAAGGGTAGGCGACGCATCTGTAACTGCGGATGAATATGGCAGCGGTCGCTTCGCTTCCCGGCGAATTAAGGTGGTCGCACGCTCGTTTGTCAACGTACAATATAAAAAAGTTATATAACTAAATTATAAACTTTAGATACTATTAGATCTACAAGTCATTGCCCGCCAAATTGATTATTCAATGATCGATTAAAATTCACACGACCAACGCGGTCATTCGCTACCTACTTTAGTAAGGTTAACTACGAAATAAGGCAGAATCTAAACCGATAGTATGTTTACTTTATTATAAGTATAGATTACTACTTACATTTATTCATACAAGCCTTGTACAGGATCTTGGCAAGGACGAAGGGACGTGCTTCTCCATTTTTTATCGGTTCTTCAAGAAGTCCTCGGATCTGTTCCTGAAGTTGGTCCGTGATGATGGAAAATGTATTGACTGAGGATTTATCGTCTGGTATGCGAGTGTTCTTCTCGAAGGCACCGCAGGAGAACTTATAGAATTCATCGCAGGGATCCACGCTTTGATCCATGTTAGATAGAAGTTTCGACGCTAAAAAAATGTTATTTATTTTCGTAAGTATCAAAACAAAATATTATAGAACATAATTAATTGAAACGAGAGAATACAATTTAAAAATTATCAATTCTTTTATTACTTGTCGGTTAATTGATGCTGGGTGCAAATTAAATGATTGAGTAACAAATTATTATAATCAGAGCCTGAGTTAGACCACCGCACATAGTAAAACAGTATGGTCAGTACCACTAATAGCCAGTACTTATTAATACCAGATGTTTGTTCTACAGTAGAACCTCAATAAGTTAAAGTCCAAGGGAAACACAAAATATTTTAAGTTATAGAGGTTTTAAGTTATCAAGGGTCTATGTTATAGAAGTTTTGGGCTCTGATGGAAAGGGAATATATTACTTTTGAAGTTATATAGTTTTTATGTTACCGAGGTTTGAGTTATCGAGGTTCTACAGTATATCTTAAAAATGTCTTAGTGTCACGTAGATGTAAAAAAATCAACATACCTGTATGTATACATGCCGGTGTATAGCAAACTTCGTAATCCCTTCTACGAGCTGCGGGCGGCATGGATTGAGGGGAAGAAAGTCTCATTTCACTAGTTTGTGGCAAGTCTATAGAACATTTAAAATAAGCAAATAAAAAAAGATAATTAAAAAAGCGTTAAATAATAATTTAGTAATTATACAATGAAAGTCCAAACGTCTAAATCTTACAGTTTTATAGGTTACTGAAGCATTTAAGTACCTAACTTATTTCTTTAATAGATTTAACTTGAAAGTTTTGGATAATTACAGCAGATGATGTTTAGCGGACGTTACTAGTGCGTGTACAAAATAATGTGGTCCAAAAGTCGTGTCCGATTTATCGTAATGTATTATTAATAAATATTATTATTATTAATGTAAATTTGAATTTATTATTATATTATTATGTACTAAATACACGTATAAGGGAAATATAACGTACAAATAATGTCGCAGAAATCATTCTTCGACCTCGACAAAGCGACGCGGCCGAGGTCGTCATTTAAACTGTTTGATGAATTGATCACTTCGATTCGACGAATCATTTCCTCGTATATTTTGTTCATTACAATTATATCAAATATATACGGCTGATAGAAAACTTAACGTTACAGAGAAGTAAAGATTGAACGAGCCTTCAATAATTCGAACATTGTGATACCAAAAGTATAGTACTAAAATTGGCAAGATTGTAAAATTTTAAAAATTTGAAAGCTATTCTTCAATTAAAAGTGACTATTAACAGGCTTAAGGCCTGTCCCACCAATTTGTAAATTGTCAGATAACAATCCAACGTGTAAAACATGTGTAGAAACATCATATTTTGTTCCCTTATCTGACAGGAATGTATTTTTAAGCTATCTGAGCCTCTATCAGCCAGAGGTGGGACAGGCCCTTGATGTAGTAAATTTAATTAAAGTTCAATAATTGTGAGTTTCATTGTTAAATACCAATAAAAATGTATGTCTGTTTTATAAGGAAGAAAGATGTGAATAAGTTTTACATACGAGTATTTCGGCAATGCAAACCCACGGTTATGTAAAGTAATATTACGAAGTTTGGTAAACCAATGTTTAATTTGTTACATGTTTAGTGTAAATATACGCGGAGGCGATCTCACAGGGTCGCTTGTGAGGAAAACGAGATGAGGCCAAGTTCATGCCGTGGTTAATGTTGTTTTTTTTTAAAATTCGGTTGTATAATATTATACGCAGCTAGTTTACATTTACAAGACAATGCAAATTGGTAACACTTTCTAACAAATAGGTTCAGCTGATTTATTTTAATGTAACTTTTACGTAATACAAGTCACGTGATTTTGTTAATATTTTTGTATACGAGTGATCAAAGCAAAAAGGTATTCGTCTAAGATTTTTGTTCTTACGATCTCGATATGATCGCTATTTATTTTAGTTTTTCAGTAATAATCTATGTAAATATCTATACTATTATAATAATGCGTAAACACACACTTCTTTGTTGCCTAAGATGTCAGCAATTACAGCAGATCTTTTAACAATTCTTTATATAATAAAAACTACACTTACGTCACGCTTTAGGCTATATATTTTCACGCTATTAAACTTAGAGGGTAAATATTTTGGATAAAAGCCCTAATGTGGGAAAGTGACCATAAGTTGCTGCCAACATCAAGGAAGCAAGACTGTCAAGGTTTGTTTTTTTTGACATTTGCTAATTTGCCAAATGTAAACAATAAAATAAAATATTCACAATTGTGGATGAAGCCGCACGGGAACAGCTAGTTGTAGTAATAAAGGTAACTGTTTGAGTAACGTTATAATATCGATGACGCAAACATCCGTGCGCCATTATATCTCGTAAACGAACAATTACGTTTCGATTTGCAAGTGTACTAACAAAAACTCGTTTTACACAGATTGGGTTACACTCTCGATTTTCGTGCACTGATTTAGTTTCCTAACGACTTACTTAACTGTAGCGAAACGGTCACGACCGAGACTTGCGTTCGTTACTTCCATAAGACACGCTGTACACGGACCGTTTCAATCTACAACAGTAGTACGGCAAGGAGCAGTTTTACAATATACATGGACGTTGTAGGAAACGGACCAGGTAAAGCTGCCGTTATGCTAAATCAATAATAAATAGTGGCGGCTGAGGTAAAAGACAATCATATGCACTCATGTAAAAATTAAAACGTATTTATTTATGAATACCAACATAAAAAGCAAGCACTATTTGAATATATTTTCCGTATTAAATAGAGGGGAGTGTGCTTGACAGATCCTGTCTATTAAAAGTCAAAGTAAACGGACTGCAATTATCAGTGAAGATCGCGATAACTTGACAATCAGTATGGAGTGCTTGATGTCCGTGTACAGCGACCCTATAGTAATTGAATCGCCTACTGCGTACGTAAATAATAACACGTAGGTGATTGTTAGTGCAAGCCCTTGATTTGAAAGTTGTCAACATATTTGTTGTTGTTGCATCGATGTTGTTTGTATAAGTGTTCCAACTGCTGGACGCTCTGGAGTATTACAAAATTACAATTTCCAATCTTTCAATTGTCTACAATTTTTTTAATGAAGATCATACGGTTATCCTACAAATCTATACTATCGAAACAAATTTCTCAATATTTGAACTAATTTTTCGTAACATCCTGTATAGTAAACAGGACGTGATCGGGACACGAGGCAAGTAACAATTAACTTACAGGAAAAGGATTCACGCAGCTCTTAACTTCCTTTAATTAAGACGAACAAGACTCGTTAACAGATAAATAGGAAACTCTTGTTATTCGAAAAAAAAAACAATTAAACAGAGACTTGTATAGACCAGACATAGTGAAAATTTTTCACCGGTAATCTTAAACAGGTACTATGATTTACTCTCCTATTGGCATTTCAAATAAATATAATTAACTACCTTTTGCCCATGACCGTTCAGCCGTTTAGACTACAAACTAACAAACATCCATCTAAACTTTCGCATTTATGATATTAAATAAAGAAATAATAAGATTATAGTTTTGAGGACCTATTAAAAGACAGCGTTAGTGATTATTATGCGAAAAATTACTCCAGTGAAGTTTTAACTATGCTTCCTCTATATAATGTTTGAACTTCTTTGCGATTAATTAAAACTTGCTATTCCATGTGCTCTGTTAAACCTTAGTTAACGCTCTCCGAGTCCTAATGTGCTGACTAAGCCGCTTACTTTCAATTTAAATGAGAAATCTACACTGAGGCACTGTTTAATTAACCACATGTTTTCGGGAATACCATAACTATTTCCATATCATTAAATAAAAACTTTTTTATATTACTTTTTATCATAAAATATTAGAAGAGCTTTATTATCTGTAACTATACCAGGTAAGGTTGAAAAACCTTGTTAGATTTTTAACGACTAATGTAATGTCGGGATTCGAACCCACGACTACTAGATCGATATATCCCTACTATTAGTCTATTAGTGTTAGAATATACCTATTCTTATATATGCATAATAGATATATTTAATTAAATAAAGTGGATACACACAGATAAAACATAGTCACCATTATTTTTTATTACTTGAAAATCCTTTATTATTTGTTCTTTTGTTATTTCTGTCACGTTATTTAAGTATATAAGTTACCATATGAAGGTCATTAAACGTACACGATAAACTTCGCGTAAACCTTAAGAACGGGTAAAGACGAGTATGGAATCCATATGATGTACAGTCGCCTTCAAGCGAGGTATAGAACTTACAGAATAAATGCTCTACTCGTAATTGAAGTTAGCTTCGCGTCTCGTAATGAGGTGCCATCGATATTCCATCGGGATAGAAATAACTGTATTGGAATGTTAAATAGAATAGTATAAAATACGCTATTATTACAACATTAGCTCTTTCTTGAGATTTCATTCGTGCGTTATTAAAAAATATCATTAAATGTTGCCTCTCTTACTCAGTGGTAATGTAGACTTTTAATGGTGAAAGAATATTAGAAAACAGCCAAGTAGTTTCATAGTTATTTCGATATACAAAAATGCAAATAAATCCCTCTTTTAACATTATTATAGATTTAGATAATAGAATATTGTCTTTGTTCTTTTAGGGGGAATGAAAAAATAGAGATTATTGATATGTTAATATAAAAGCAATCGAAACCCATTGAGCGTTTAAAGTTGGACACTGTGAACAACGGTGACTGTACCTCGAAATTATTGACCTTCAATAACTACCTACAATTGTCAAAGTATTTATAAAATTCCGTAGTGTTTGTGACCGCTGTCAACTTTTAACTTGACCAGCCTTGATCTATTTAAAGTTAATTTAAATACCAGTTTTGGTTTAACAAACCCTTTTAAAGGTCCTGCTACTATTTTAATCTGCAGGCAATTGTTTTTCTTGCAGTTTTTCCATTAATTAACTTTATTTTAGTCATTATCCTTTTTTTGTTGTCCTTGATTTTATAGGAATGTTAATGGTTACTTAAACAGTTCCTTAGTGCAATTTTCTCATCGTTTATTTACTTTGATCAGTAGTTAAAGATACAACTGATACAGGATACTTTTACTTCTTACTATTATTATAAATGTAATTTTTTGATGGATTGATGTCAGATGTTTCTCCTGAACGGATCAACGGATCTTGAAGAAATTTGAAACACACATAAAACATAGTCTGGAGAAACACATCGGCTACTTACTACGTTATTTTTTGATACTAAATGGAGGGGTTCACGGGCAGAATCTAGACATAAATAAAAAAGCGCGCGTGCCACCACGGGCAATAGCTAATCTATGACATTGAAGCTTATATAACACTTTTGGACGCCTCCCGAATAATAGATTACTTGTATTATATTGCGGCGGTGCGCGACCTTTTCTTATCTCCAGTTAGTTCACGATTCGCGACGAAATTTTCTCTCATTGCGTATTCTATCGCGGTGCACGTGGCCACTTGTGACCGGCCGACTGTGCCGCGAACCCTCTGCGAATACCATCAACGCAGTTTCAAACCAAACGATTGAAATAAAGTTGAACAACAAATAACAAGTATCCAGGACCCTACGTAGACCCATACTCTTCTTCTTTTGGGGCCGTCTCCTAACAAAGGTTGGCAATCATTACAGCAACTTGAAGTTTAGACACAGCAGCTCTAAGAACGCGTACTTCTATTGTACCATTGGCGAAGATTTTTTAGCCACGATGTTCTTCTTCCTGGACTTCTTTTCCCTAGAGTGCCACAATTTTTTGACTGCGGCTTACTATTAAAAAAATTTCCCTAATAAGTATTTTGTATAAAAATCTTTTCTTTTCATAATATTAATAGTTTAAAAATTATATTGGAACAGCGCGCTGATAGAAATATTTCGTAAACGTGAACCGATTTCTTAGAAATAGAATCAATCTTGTAACAGATTAAGTAAAAAAGCTACCTTGAGATTTGCGTCAGTTAGTTTTTTTTAAATATGAGATGCTGTAGTTGTCTATTTACTTATTTAAACAACATTTCAGTTCTTGTTATGCGCATTCGTGAAATCCGAAATAATGCAAGCAATCTAAAGTACAAAAATTCTCTATATTGCTGTAAAACCTAACGATTGTTAAAAAACATATTGACGTTTGAACTTTCATATAGCATCTAGGGCTGCCACATTATTGGGCTTAAAGTACATTTATTGTGATAAAAAATAAATTATTTATTTTCACTTTACTATACTAACGATTACTTGTGGAAACCCTAGAAACATAAACCATATATAACAAGATTCCAACATTATATCGGCTCGTGGTAAACTGCAACCGCTTGCTTGGGCATAATATATTTTACTAATCATTTCTTACTATCTTTCGAAGGAATCACCACCTGACTGGTGTCAGGATCGTGGTCAGGCGTTAGTTTATTAGAAAAGTGAGCCGACATAAATTTTGGATAACAAAATACTTACAGTTGTCTCCATGGGATCGTATGTACATGGTGGTTATGAAGGCAACCAGGAAACCGATTGTCATTATCAAGAGGACAACGCTGATGAAGATCAAACGCTTCTCCAGAGCAGTCCTCCGCGCCCAAAACGAAGGCCTGAAAAATATCATAAATTAGTCAAATACACACTTAACACCACACTCAGATATGCTATTTTGTCTCTAATGACAGCCTTTTATGTCGATTCCTGTTCTACACTAATCTGAACCACTAATCGAGTCAGATTGTTAGTCTTGTAACTCATTGTAATATTTTTATAACTGTGTTTGAAGGATAAAACAAAGTATAAATGTCCAAAGGAATATATTAAAAATGATGTATAAATTTGTCCGATAATCCTAAACCACTGGATAGAGTTTCATTAAACTTTGCTAGAATGTTCTAAGCAAGCTGGAGGAAGTTTTGACAGTTACTTTATCGATGTTTCAATCGTTAACTACAAAATGGCATAGAATCGCAGCGTAGCCAGGGGACAGCTGTCTAGGCTAGAAAATAGAATAATAGTTCTAATAAGATTATATTTATTGTAGCTCCTTCCTAGACCTAGCCTAGATCATTAGCTGGCTGCTAAGCATAGAATTAGTAACTGTAATTTAGGCTACAATCGGCAAGAACAAACTAAAATGTTTATTCTTGATATAAGAAAATTGCTCTAATAGAATTTGCACGTTGCTTCGATTTGTCTTAATAATATAAGGAAGAGGGACAAACTGTAGCTAGTCATTTTATTCACATCAAGTTCAAAAACCGAGTTCAATGTATAAAAAACCAGTTTGGATCACATCAATATCTGGCGATTATAAAGTCAAATACTAGTAGGCCACCGCAAATGTCATCACACCTAACTGTACATTAAAAACATCGGTCGTTGTTTATATAAAAATAGCAGTAATTTAACTAACACCTTTTTCCTGTTAAAATAATCTATTAAACTTTTTGATGGTTAAAAATATTTATTTTTATAAAAACGCCATCTATCAATTTCAAATTTAATTTAAACTTAAACATTTTATGCTAGTTTTACCTCTTTTTATACACATTTGGAAAGATTGTAATTTTATCGCTTCCATCACATTATAAGAATTATTTATCATTTTATCGCTTGTGCTTGTCCATTTTAAACTCTATTCAATTGATAACTTTATATCACGTCGTAAATAAATCTAGAAAATTATTAATGTCATGCCAATTTGTTCAGTAAATCGAGGTTTTGTATTTAAAATGAAGATTTGTATTCTTCTTCCTCCTTTTCCTACTCCCGTAGTGGCGCAACAGGTTCTTGTCCTCCAATAACTCTATCATACGTCATCTCAGTCATCACTCCCCTCTTGATCATGTCACCTTTCACGCAATCCATTTATTTCTAGGTCTCTCCTTTAAAATCAAGATTTTTTATATCGTTTATTAGACAAAACGAAACATTTGTAAATAATCTACACTTACAAAATATAGAAGCCATAAAATAAGCTAACCCTCTTCGTTTTTCGAGATTTTAGTGTTCGGTTCGCTTTTCCTACAAGCGTTTCATCTTTACCTACATCACATGTATTTTCATCACGTCTACAAATCTAAATGAAATAATGTAACTTACCGATAGAACGTTAATACAGAACGCATTATTCCGTTCATGCTTCACAGCGGTCGATAACAACATGCAAACGCTATCACGACTTTATGTCGTATTTGGGTAAGCTGAAGCAGCTGTTTAAATAAATTAATATTAGTTGAGGTATGTCTATACAGTAAAATATTTCACAAGTGCATTATAAATAGATTTTTTCAGACTATGGCCTTCACATAAATATATACATATATTTGAACAGTCTGGGAAAATCCGCCGTGTTGTTTATAGAAACAGTACATCCCTGCGTCGGATTGGTTGTTGTTCCATGTTAACTTAATTCATACGAAAGGTACAAATGGTTAGTTTTTTAGGTTGATACCACCAGATTCCCCGATTGTGCATTTTGCAGTCTCAATCAATGGCTTAGAACTTGTTATGATAAGAATTCTGACAACGAAAATACTATTAAGAGTATTTCTTTTATTAAATTTTGTAATGTAATTTTCTTGGTTTTATTTAAAGATTACATTATAATTCGGACGAAGTGAGCCAAGCTCAGGGTCTACAGGTCGATGAACCTTTGCCGAGCCAGCTCCAGCTCTGGACTCGTTTCCATAGCGCCACTTTCTCCAACGACATTTGGGAATGCTCTTATCTTAAGAAATTGAGAGGCTTATTAATACTATGAAAGCAACAAATTGCTTTTAAACGCATGCTACATTTAATATTAGTACGATTTTAATTTGATATGCAAATTGAATAATTCGTTCTGTTTCAATATCTGCAGAAGGCGTGCTGCTGCTGGATGTGAATTTATTTATAAAATTATTTATATAGTTATGGGTATATTTGGAATTCGTATAACATTACAATTGGGAACTACCTCCATCTAATTACATATTAACTACATGCGACAGTTCACATATGTCGTAGGGGCTTGAAAACCCAAGTAAGTGAACCACTTTACAAATGTTAATGTCTTCGTGCGGATATGGTATGCGAAAGAAAATAATATTGGGCCACATTGGGATCGAACCTACACGTATACGGCCTTGTGTAGTCAGGTACGCCAGCGATGGTCTTCATACGTCGTATTAAATCCATTAGTTATGATAAAATATTGTTACTCCTTCGAGTAGACGTTCTGTATTTCTTTTAGTCTTTGCTTTTAATAGTTCATATTTATAGGTTATGTTAAAAAAGAGTATAAGGTTAGAGTGGTATGGACATGTTATGAGAAGGGATGAATCGCATGTAACAAGACGGACGATGGTTATGAATGTGGAGGGGTACACCGGTAGAGGTAGACCTAAAAAGAGAAGGATGGATTGCGTGACATGATCAAGAAGGGAGTGATGATTAAGATGATGGATGATAGAGTGCTTTAGACGACGAAAACCTGGTTCGCCGACCCTACGAGAGTATGATAAGGCAGGGGAGATGATGATTTATAGGTTATGTTGCAGTAACGCGTAATTAAATTATCAAATCACTGAATAATAAATTTGAATGGTCAGTTAAAGGGATTTTCCCAGTTGTTTCGCTTCTGATTAATACTCGTATAATTGAATTTATTCTTCAAAGTTGTAGGTAAACCACGAAACCGCGTGACGTCGGTGTTTCAATTAGCGTTGCTGATTTTACAAAATGACTATACTTTATTATGATAACTGATGGATTATTTGGGAAACCCGTGAACATCTTAAGCGTTGAATTTCGAAATTGAAAATGTCATTTCCAATCGCGGACGTTTATTTCCTATACGTTCGGTAAAATGACATTTTACATTGGATTTAGGTCGAAGCAGCTTAGCTGTGAGTGAGCTTCCGTCAGCTAAATCCTAACATAACTTATTGATTTTACAGCAATAACAGCGGATTCGAACCCACGTCGTTGCAATGTATATCCATAACCAATAATCAATTAATTAAAAATCTTTTGTTCGTCACGTATTTTATTTTTCATGTACTTTAAATTGGATGAGGCGTATTTTATTCATCGAAATATCGACTATCGATAGATTAAGATAAAAGCGGCCACAGAGTTTACGGTACCCGGTGACCGGTTGCGCTTCATCGTGAAGAATAACTTAAAGAATATCATAAGGCATTGAGCATCGAGTTCGTTGACCCGATGGTCTCCTGGGTCATGGCAGACCGTTACTAGCGTAGACAGGACAATGCATAACACAACATTTTTTTTGTTTACTTTTTGTCGTAATATTTAAGATTCTAAAGGTCAATTCAGTTGGTAGTTCATAAAAATATAATAAATCTGAGGATCGAATTGGATCGAATCTTAAATGTTTGCCGATAGGCTCAAATCTTTTCACATTTGAAGAGACCTTAAGGATAACGGAAACTGCCATCCATCTTAGTATTTCGTAGATTAAAGGTATCCTTCTAATTCTAATCTAAATGTAGGTTAGTTATAAATCTTTAGTATTACCATATAAATACTAAACAAAATTACAAAAAAAAGAAGATTTTTTTTTACTTTATTAAGAAATATTTTCTTTTATTGTAACACTTGTATTGAAACTAATGTCTTTACATTAACAAGGACAACATGTTTCATACATGTATCAGGACAGTCGAAACCCACAACACAGTATACAAGTGTGACAATTGACACAAATCACCAACGATCGAGATTGTATGTGAATAGTTTGAACAGTATACTGCGTACAAAACGGTACAGTACTCGTTGTACTATATTTTTTGCGTGACAACAAAAACTCTAATGCGTTCACGTACCGGCCCCCTTGTGACATACGTCCTCTCTTTACCGTTACTTCAATACAAATGCTATAGAGAGCGCATTTTTACTTCACATACGATATACAAATAAAAAGGTTTATCTCACATTAGGAGCATGCGCACACCTGAAACTAAACTATCGCACAACTGATTATATTCGCTTTGATTTTTTTGAACGATTAAAGTAACTGGCAACTAATAATTTTGAGTACTGGCTGAATGTGCATCGAATGATAGATGTCAAGACGAAGATAGAATGTCTGATGACAGTTGTCTTTGAATGGTGGAATGATGCGTATTGTTATTTTAAAATCAATTGGTTAATCTCTGTAAATGTTTGCAATTTGATTAGAGTGTGTTGTGAAGTTATATATTAAGATGGCGGACAACTAAGAATGGTGTTTCTAATGTTACGCGATTGTGATTTAATTATGTCAGATATACGCACGCCCACAATGGAAGATCGTTACCGTGTATATGATCTTCCTTCGGAATTTGAATTCTACAAACCGCTCATCACTCCGACAAGCTTATATGGAGAGGTCCACACTGCTAGATTTTTAGTTGTGTCACTAAACAGTTGAATTGGCTGCGAAACAATCGACAGTCGTTGTTGTCGATCGACTTCATGCGCGGAATGAAACTAAAATCTAAAAAAAATACAAATCTTTACTCTTTCTAACAGTATAGATAGAGTATTTAACAATTTTACTATCATTTGTTTTTAGTAAGTACGTGTAGTACTCGTAGTACAAAATGGTATTGTTCTGTGTAATATGAAATTCAATTTCGACAGCACTGAAACTTGTAACATTATTCTCCTTTATGTTCCCTTTGATAAAACAGAGACGGCAATGTCATTGTATTTAGCGAGTACTGCAAGAGCGACATATTAAGTCCCTGCAACAGTAATAAAAAGGTTTCCCTGTCGGCGCGCTCCCGAACTAATATCTTTCATCTGATCGAGAGAGAAAGCTGGCTTTTACGATACATTTGTCAGGTTTCGTTTAATCTTCTCGTCGACTTTTATTACATTTCTAATACTCGAGACAGAAGTCCAAAGCTGACTAGGGTGACCGTAATTTTATCTAGTTCTCGGTAACTTTAATTTCACGAACAGAATCCTTACACAGGATTAATTTGACGACATATTTCAAACGATTCAGTGTAAAATATTTCTTTTTCATTACATTAACTTTTTAAACCATAAAGTTGGTAATTGACAAGTAATTGCAAAACAGATAGAAAAGGTGATATAACTAAATTATGTAATACATAATTGTAATCTTACTAATATTATAAATACGAAAGTTTAGATGGATGTTTGTTAGAGTTTGTAGCCTAAACGGCTTCACGGATTTCGATGAAATTTGAAATATATGTAGAGGATAGTCTAGAAGGACACTTTT